TTCACGACCATCTCAGCTCATCGCATACACGGACGCCGATTGGGGAGGCTGCCCTGACACCCGTCTATCCACATCTGGATATTGTATCTTCCTAGGAGATAATCTAATCTCATGGTCTGCAAAGCGTCAACATACTATCTCACGCTCAAACGCCGAGGCCGAGTACCGTGGTGTTGCAAATGTAGTTGCTGAAACATGTTGGTTACTAAACTTGTTACTCGAACTTCACACCCCTCTAAAACAGGCGACTTTTGTTTATTGCGATAATATTTCAGCTGTGTACCTCGCCGGAAACCCAGTTCAACATCAACGGACCAAACACATTGAAATGGATATTCATTTTGTCCGTGAAAAGGTTGCCCTCGGACATATCCGTGTACTACATGTTCCATCTGCATTCCAATATGCAGATATATTCACTAAAGGTCTTCCTCGACAACTTGTTACCGATGTGGAATAGCTTGGACGCAGCTACCAAACCACTTTTTGCAAAGACTATATTGGTAGAAGACAACTGAAGTTTGTTACCTTTTTTATTTAGAATTTAGGATTTTTGGAACCATTTTGGTTTAGAACTTTGTTAATTTTGAAACAATTTTGATTATTTGGTATTAGAACTTTTTTTAATTTGAGAATTTTAAATAATTTTTTAATAAAAATGTTTATTTTGAAGTTATGTATGTTAATTAGAGTTATTATGAATCTTTTTTGCAAAAGGGTAGTATGGTCATTTTTACATCTTGTTTTGTCCAGTTCTATTGTTACCAAACAGTTTCAGACAACTTGTTCTGTTCTGTTGAAAGAACCCCTTTCTAAACTTTTGTATTTCTGAAAAACCCAAACTTTCATACTCGACAATTGTTATCCCAAAACATGCTACTTGCATATTCATAAAAACAATATTTTACATTGATAACTTGTTTACATAAGACTGGATACAAACTGACTATTACAAATTTTTATATGTTACATAACTTCCCAGGATACTATAAGTTATACATACATGAGTACAAAGTACAATAGTTTCAAACTATTCAAAAATCTTCCAACAGTATACGATTATACTGGTTACTTATCTCCTGCAAATTTGTTAAACATTGAGATGGGTAAGCGATGACGCTTAGTGAGTTCAATAATAGATACAATATAACGTTATGTCATATATACACTTCAATATGGCAGAAGCAAGAAGGAACAAGGAACAACAAAGGCATATGTGAATAATGCGAAAAGCTTTCCATATCAATCAATGAGACATAACAATTTCCATACTTGATATACAATCAATAAAGTTTCAGCACAAGTGGCACAGAAAATACTCAGGAATATCATTTTGCTAGATTATTCAGGCTTTCAGCCTTATCTTAGCATACTGCCGAAGCCAAAGTGATGCCTATGCCATACACTTCATGGTCAACGGCACATACCAATACTCAAGTGATGCCTATGTCATACACTTCGTGGTCGGAGGTATAGCTTTGTTATAAAAATAGCAGAAATAATAACACGAGATGATAACATGGAAAAACACATAACACATATAACACATAACATACAATTGTTCCTATATATTAAACTTACCGTGAAATAACTGGGGGTTAAAATAGTAATTTGGGCAGCACTTCGTTACTATAATTAGCTTTCTTCGTTGAAAACCGGGCTCTGCGAAGGTAGAGCTTCAAAACCGAAAAGATAAATTTTTCGGGCTTCTCGGGAACTTCGGGGCGTGTTTCGGGCGTTGGAAATAATCCCGGGGCTTCGGGGGAAGTTGAAATAGTGGAAATATGGATTTAGGGGTGAAAATGTGTAAATTTCCTAACATTAGCCGGGAGGGTTCGCAGGCACTATTTATAGTGCGAGGTCCGGATCCGAAGCGAGAGGAAAGGAGGGCAGGTGGCTGCGAGGTTCGGAACACATGGCAGAAGGGCGAGGCTCGGATGCGAGATGGGTACGTGCCGACTTCGGATTGGTCCAACACTTCGGACACGGGGCGGAGTCAGAAGCGAGGCGCGTCGGAAGGCCATTGGACCACTTCTTCGGTCAAATCAGCAAGCGACACGCATGTCGGGCACGGGGTATGCATGCGAGGATCCGATGACGTGGCCTGACCTTATCCTTGCGAGATTCCTCGGAAAATGAGCCCAAATCTTCTAAAATCCATAACTTTCGCATACAGGCTCCGTTTTTGACGTTCTTTATATGCACGCGTAGGAGGGAATATATTCTACAACTTTCGTTTAGACTTCGTCGGATAATTTTGACTTTATTTTTAATATTATTATTTTTAACAGACCGAGACAGGAAAATCCGTTAAAAATTCATAACTTCTTCATCCGACGTCCATTTTCGTCTGTCTTTTTACCGTTGTACTACTATTGACGAGACCTTCGATTCTCGTTTAGGTTGTGTCGGCTAAAAATCACTCGATCTAAAATTCGAGTTTTTAGCTGTCTACTGCTAAGCTGAAACTTAGAAAAATCATAACTTCCTCATACGAAGTTAGATTTGGGCGTTCTTTTTATGAAAATTCTCGGTTTAACAAATGCTACGACTTTCATTAAGATCACCAAGGCTAAAAAGTAGTTTATCAAAAACTCACTTTTTACGTCATTCGACGTCGTGCCGGTTTTGTCGCGGATCTTCGATTGGTCATGACTTCTTTGTTATAACTCAGATTTCGATGAGGTTTTCGCCTAAATGTTTCTAACGAAATTATCTACAATTTTCATTAATAAAATTTTACTTATTTCAAATTTTATATTTTCGTTAAATTTCGATATTTATCTTTTGATTGGAATCTCATAAAACTTCCAATATTTGCGAGTGATTCTAAACATAGTATTACTTTATTTCTAGTAAAAACTATCCGTTAGAACTCAATACTCAATATCACATAATATTTCATAATATTATTTACTTAAAACACGATTTCAAAACGTGTATGTTACATCTGTTCCAGTCTTACCAAACGTTATACAAATTATTTGTCCAGTCCAGTCCAATCTTGTTCAGTCCAGTTCTGTTCCACCCAGTTCTTCTGCCAAATGGTACCTAAATGACCTAAAGTCAAACTTGGTCAAAGTCAACGGTCAACAGTCAAAAGTCAAAAGTCAACTTCCAGATTGCCATGTCATGGCTGCTAAACGACAAAGCAGATGGGTTCCTACCCAGTCGTCACGTCGTGGCAACCTAAGGCTATGTCGTGGGGACTGGTCTGAACAACTTAATCCATTAAGTAATTTTCTTACAATTTCAAGAGCTCCAAAGCTCAGATCTGGTCCTTCCCATGATCTTGATGCATAAAGTTTCCAACTTTATCCATCAAGACACCTTAACAAGTCAAGATCACAAACCCTAATTCCTAACAAGCCCTAAAAATCGTAGCTTTATGGACATGCATGTCCAATGCACGCCCCTTCCATTTTTAGGTAAAAAACATGGCAATAAGGACTTACACTTGAGCATGGAACCAAAAACTACATAAATCCTCAGATCCGGAACATATAACACTAGAATGATCACATGGATCCATAAAGTTGCCAACTTTGTGAGATTCAACGTTCCAATTTCTGACATCATGAAGATTTAGGGACAAAAGAGCTAGATCTAGAGATAAATTTCATAATGATTAGATCTTGGGGACGTACAAGAGTCCAGAAACGTGCTCAAGGTAGATGGGAGGATTTGCTTGCTGAAACCAAGCTCAAAGATGCATTCTTCTTCTTCTTCAAAATACCACCAAAACACACAAAAGCTCAAAGATTAGCAATGGAGGCTAGGGTTTACTCTTGGAGGCTAAGGGAGAGTGAATGAGGCTGAGGATGGGCAACCCTAGCCATCACATTCCCTTAAATAGGGGCTCAACCCCCGGATTAGGGTTTGTCATTAAACAGCGGCCACGCTGTGATGCTAACTTAGAGTCTACGAAAACTCTGGCCTTGACGACGCCGTGGGACTCAATCACCACGTCGTGGCCACCAGAGATCCAACATCGAAAATATTAAAATTACTTAAAAGGAACATATACTAAACTTGACGTTACACATCTTCATTATGTAAACAAATGTGAAAATTCAACAACTAGTGTGCAAGATATTAATGAGTAATGTTTGATGGCCCGATCAAAAAGTTCTCATAATCTTTTATAAATTGTTCCGAGTTATTTTAATATTGTTCAAAGATTATTAATATCTAATCTCAAACCCAATTTCCCAAGGTCTTTTTTATATTTTATAGTTAAAAATTGAATTTAAATTCAATTCAAAATAATATAAAAAAAAAAAAGATAAAACTAAATCTGGGCGTGGAAACAGGCCTAAAAGGTCGGGTTCATGTCCAAAAAGCCAGGCCCCCTTCATCTTAAAATATAAAAATTATTCCGTTTATTAAAGTCTGCAAATGATCTCGTCCCAGTTCTCACCATCGGCTCGCGTATCTACTCTCTAATTAAGGAACAGTTATAACCAGATGCGAGAGCTGAGATTAACAACCACGACCTTACTTGAACATGATGTGTTCTATAGCCTCCTACCTCTATATTCTTGATTCCTAAGAAGACAGAAACCCATGTCAGAGCTTTCATGGTGTAGGCCATACATGGCTCAATAGAGGATCATCGTCAGTCTCATCTGATGGGTCTTGGCATGGCTACATGGTTGTTGACAAACAACCAATCTTTTCAATTTTGTATCTATATTTAAATAAAAGAGACGCACAACAAATGTCGACGAAATGCTCGGAGATATGATATATCTCTTTTCTTCACGTTTAGTTTTTCATGTATATTTAAAGATAGCTCTGACCAGTCAATAGTTTTGACCAAACAACCCCGACCAGGAATTTACTACTGTAGGCAACGTCAGTATTTTCAAGGCGGCCTAAAATGGCAACTAGTTGAAGATCTGTCATGATTATATATATATATATATATATATATATATATATATATATATATATATATATATATATATATATATTGCTTAAATTTGTTTATGTTCTTGTTTTACAGGACTCCATTATCTTTCTTCACTTGTAATATATAGTGTTCCTGATGAACCAAAAGCTACAGAGAACTTGAACTTTGTGTTGCCAATGACGAATTGCAAGTCATTTCCATTTCTGATATTGCTGTTGCTTACCTTTCAAAGCCTTTTAACAGCACATGAAGATCCATCTTACAAGGACGTACAGGTCGGAGTGATTCTTGACATGGATTCATGGGTAGGGAAGGTTGTTTATACTTGCATCACCATGGCTATTTCTGACTTTTATACAGCCAATCCTCACTATAGAACAAGGATAGTTTTTAAGACCAGGGATACCAATGGAGAACCACTGCGTGCCTTGTCTGCTGGTAATGTCTATTTATTTTTATTTTTTGGTAAACTTTAATATTGAACATTAATATTAAAATTCATGGACATTCATTCAGCTCTGGATCTTTTAGAGAACACAGAAGTGCAAGCGATAATAGGTCCAGAATCAACAGCTGAAGCAAGATTCTTGGAGGTTTTGGGAGATAAAGCTAACATACCGATTCTTTCCTTTTCAACAAGTCCCTTTTTAAATCAGAATCCTTATCTTCTTGGAATCTCACAAGATGAAACCACTCAGTTTAAAGGCATTGCAGCCATGGTAGAATCTTTTAAAGCCAAGAATGTGATCCTTATATGTGAGAACACAGCAAACGGGAGAGAAATGGCTACTTATATCGTTAGTGCATTCCAAGAGAAAAACATACACGTCACATATACAAGCCTAGTTTCAACCACTGCCAACCATGAAGAAATCAAGGAAGAGATTCTTAAGCTTCAAACTATGCAAGGCAAGGTTTTTGTCATGCATACACCTCCTTCTCTAGCATCTGATCTTTTCTCGAGGGCAAAAGAGCTGGGCATGATGGGAGAAGGATACATGTGGATTATAACAAGTAAGATTGCCAATTTCTTGGATTCCGTGGATGCTGAAGCAATCAAATCAATGCAGGGAGCAGTGGGTTTCAGATCTTATTTTCCGGCATTGAGGAAGCTTAATAACTTTGTTGCCAAATGGAGAAAGGAACACTATTCTTTGATCCCTTTTATGGAGGTTAAGGAAGTAGATTATAATGGCATATGGGCATATGATGCAGTTTATCCACTCGCCATGGCTGTTGAGAAGGTACAAACAACCTCAATCCGTGCATCACTTTTAGATGAGATGTTAAGAGTCAACTTCCATGGTTTAGGTGGTGAATTCAAGCTTATGAATAGGAGAACCATTTCCAAAGTCATGGAAGTTGTAAATGTGATCGGTAAGGGTGATAGGAGGGTTGGGTTCTGGATGATGGCTACTGGTGGTGAGTTTGTTAAAGAAATTGGAAAAGCAAATTCTTCTTCTTCTTCCAATGATGGTCTGGAAAGTATCATCTGGCCAGGTGGAGCTACAAGTATTAATCAAAAGCGCAGGATGCTGCAAACGAATGGGAAAAGGCTGAAAGTTCTGGTTCCAGATTTTGGCACAATATTCCCGAATTTGTTACAACTGACTGTTGATCCCAAAACAAATCTGTCATCTGTCAGCGGCTACTGTGGGGATGTTTTCAATGCTGCTTTTAATGCCTTAGACTATGAAGTAGGCGTTGAGATTATTCCTCTCCCTTATAAGGATGGAATGACTTATAATGATCTAATCGACAAAATCGCTCTAAAGGTATGTGCCTCTTTTTAGCAAAACTGTATCATCAAAGATACTTTGTCACACTATTTGTAGAGCAGTTAGATTGTTTTTTAATCATAAGATATCGGATTGTATCAGGAATATGATGCTGCTGTTGGAGATATATCAATCACAACAAATAGATCTCTCTATGTCGACTTCACATTGCCCTTCACTGATCTAGGAACTGGGACAATAGCCCGAAACGCCAAGAAAAGCATCTGGATCTTTTTAGATCCTCTTAGTACAGATCTTTGGATCACAAGCGGCTGTTTCTTTCTCTTTTTGGGGTTTGTCATTTGGTTTATTGAACATCGTACAAATGAAGAATTTCAAGGTTCAGCAAAACAGCAAGTTGGAACAACCATCTGGTTTGCCTTTTCGACCCTTGTTTATGCTCACAGTAAGCTCTCTAACTCATTACTATAATCTCAATTTACTTAAAGATTTGATCTTTTGACCATTACTTTTAATCTTCAACTTTCTAACAAACACCCACAAAAACTTGGTGATTCAGGAGAGAAGCTCCAAAGTAATCTATCAAGATTCGTGGTTACTGTCTGGGTTTTCGTGGTGCTTGTGCTCACGTCAAGTTACACTGCAACTTTGAGTTCACTTTTAACTGTACAACAGATTGGAATGAAGGAGATGTCTATCGGATTCCTGGGTGTTTCTCCCTCACTAGGAGTTGCCTTTAACAACGTGAACTTAGGGGTTGCCAAAATTGAAAACCTATACACACCTGAGGCCTACGTCAAAGCATTAACAAGTGGAGGTGTTGATGCAATCATCGATGATATCCTTTACATCAAAGCAGTCCTTGCAATGTATCCGGCTTCTGACTTCTCCTTGATCTCAACAGCATCAACCACCAATGGTTTCGGCTTTGTAAGTGTTCTCTATATATAAGACTCTTAATCCTTTTGGCTTCTTCCAAAACTCTAATGTAGCTATGTTTGCAGGCATTTCAAAAAGGTTCTCCGTTGGCCAGAGAGATGTCGACTCAGATAGCAAAGATGCGGGAAGACGGGACATTGAAAGCAATAGAGGATAAATGGTTAAAACGTCAATCTGCATTGATGTCAAAGGATTTTTCTTCTCCTTCACCAAAATTTTTGAGTCTATATGGGTTTCGGGGTCTCTTTCTTATCAGTGGTGTGACAATGGCATTTGCCCTTCTGGTGTCCATGGTTCGTATTATTCGTGAAAAATTACATGTCAAGATTAAGATTCAGATATGGAGGTACATCTTAAGAAGATCTTCTGAAATACATGCACAAGATAGTGATGCAGAATCAGCAGTTTGACTTATGTTTATAAAGTTAAATAGGATTCACTATACTTAACATCTTGTAAATATCAATATGTGTATCAAATATATATAATATTGACGTCTTATCTAAACTTAGTAGCTATTTTCACTGGAAAATAGATTTTGTTAAACGTGACTTGAGAATTGAAGACATGAAATGAGAGTCGGAGCATTTGACAATACTATGGAGCATCTAGAAATTGATGGAGCATCATGAGTCATGATGCTCCATCAATTTCTAGATGCTCCATAACTCTGATTTTAGGTCTTTAATTCTCAAGTCACATTTAACGAGATCTATTTTTCAGTGAAAATATTAGAGCACTAAGATATGACAAGAATTCATCTCTTTAGGCTCTCCTGATGAAGTGTGTGAAAAACCCTTTAAACAACACACACACACACAAACTATATATACACAAGGTCTGCTGAAGGAGCGCGCCACACCACTTCAAAAGACGTGCTGTGTCTATGCGTGTATCGATCAAACCTTTCCACGTGTTGACTCCTTCCGCCATGTGTCTCGATATCTCAACATGTGTCCACCACCTGGACACCTTGACGCGTCGCCGTACTCAATACACGCGCCGCGACCAGACCATTGACTTCCGTTGACCTCGACTTGACCCCACGCGTCGCGCCTATATAAGGACGCACCAGGCCTTTCCTGAGATGGAAATATACTTTAAAATTTATTATATACTCCTTACATTTCACATTGATACGCCATGACACCTTTTATTCACACCTTCAAGCAAGAATAATGCTTCATTTTCTTCAAGCAAGAATAATGTGCCCTCTAAACATTTTCTTAAAGTTTGTAACAATGTGTCTTGCACATTGTCTATGCTCAACCTAGGATAACACATCTTTTATATCGTCCAGAATTCCTTGTCATAGTAATTAATGAAAAGGTTAAATATGATAAAATATAGAGTAAAATACAAAAAATGATCCCTATGTTTATATGAAATGTATGGATCAGGCCCTGAAAGATATTTTTTTTTTGCATTTTTGATCCCTATGGTTTCAACTTGTTTTGAATCAAGTCCTTCTCACTAACATCGTCAAAATAAAAGTATTAAATATGTTTAAAATTATGATGTTTCCTTTCTTTAATGTGGGCCCCACCAACCCTACATCCACCTTGTTTTCTTCCCCATCCCTAGGGCTGTTAATCGGGTCAACCCGATCGGGTTTCAGGTTAAACGGGTCGGGTTAACCGGGTTTTTCTTAAAAAAAATTGACCCTAAACCCAACCCTATTAAGGTGCGGGTTAGTCGGGTTAGGGTTAGACGGGTTTCGGGTTAACCAGGTTGGGTTAGTCGGGTTAATCGGGTTTAAATAGAAATAAAATAATATTTGTTTATTTTAGCAAATAACTTATATATATAAGGACCTAAAATGTAACGTTTTAAAAAGTAAACTCTTTGTACATAGAATGAATTTAAAATGTAACATCCAAAAATTTCACGCCAAATTTAAACTTTTCCAACCATAAATAAAAGTCAAATAGTATTGTTTACAAAATGTTTTCAAATCAATATCCATCAGAGTGTCCCAAATTCATATCATAAGGATGAGGAGCGGTACGGTCACGCCTTCGCCTTGCCACGATCTCCTGAAGTACCTGAAACAATAAATTGAAACTGTAAGCCCGAGGGCTTAGTGAGCTATCCCCAAAATACCAATATCACACTGACAATACCATATCAGTAACAACCAATCAATCAATCATGCATATTGGGCCATCGGCCTGACTGGTCCGCCCTACCGGGCCTACAGTCTAACTGAATCTATTCATACATACTGGGCCATCGGCCTGACTGGACCGCCCTACCTGGCCTTCAGTCTATCAGAGTCTATCCCGAGCCTTCGGCATGACTGGTCCGCCTCGTGGGCCTGCAGTCTGCCCGGACCGCTCATAGGGTATGTTGGCCTTCAGCACAAAGCAGGACCGCCTCAACCCAACCAATAAGCAAATAACCAAGTTCACATAACTATCATATACTGGCATATACAACATCAAACATATCTATCACACTGATCATCAACCATAGAATCCTCTTGTAACGAGAGTACCGACCTAGCAGGTCACTAACATACCAATCCTTACGGATCATAAAGCATAAGATATTGTCTACCCTGATTCTGATCTAACAGACCAAACCATATGTAGCATACCATAACAAAACAACAAAAGGGCCGGCCTTGGTGCCGTAGACCCTATCGATATAGTGAGGATGACTCACCTCGCAGATGTCGACTCGAAAGGTAAACTCCAATTCCCGGATCACTTGTCACATGCTCCACCACCTATGACCATAGTACAATATACTCATAAGTCATTAACTCTATAAGATACTCCATAAGCCACCAGTCAACCCCTGGTCAAAGTCAAAGTCCTCAGTCAAGGTGAACAGTCCATGTTGACCCCCAACTCGCCGAGTACCCTTGGCTACTCGCCGAGTTCCTCGAAGCACATTTCACTCGCCGAGTCATCGGGGTGACTCGTCGAGTTCCTTCGATTCCCGATCAAACTCTAAGGCCACCTGTCGAGTTCCCTCCTTTCCACTCGACGGGCACATACGCATGGATATCCTAGGGAAAACTCATCCGACTCGCCGAATTGTTCTTCAACTCGTTGAGTCTTATGGTGATCTTCATAGGACTCGCCGAGTTGTTCATCCAACTCGTCGAGTTCACGGCCATCTTCATGTGACTCGCCGAGTCAACCTTGCGACTCGCCGAGTCCGTTCAGTCCTTTGTCCATACAGACTTGTTTTAAGCCAAGCAGCGGCTCCAAATCATAGATCTAAGCTTCTAGAGCATGCTTTTCACGTAAAGTTGCAAACTTTACGTGCATGCATGACTAATAAGGCTCTTAATGCCAAAACTAAGTTCTTAATGGGGCTTTATGCACAAGGAGGGCCTCATTCTCGACCAAAATCAGAGCTTTATGACTCTAGAACCCAAGAAGGTTACAGATCTGAAGTTACAACTTCAGATCTAGCTCATATCCTACATTACCATCTCAACCAAACCATAAAAACCCTAAATCTCAACTAAAAGAGGTCTAGAAAGAAAAAGGAGAAAAGGTGTCGACTTGATACCTCCAAATGATGCTATTTGAGGTAGATTTCTGATCTCCCACACCTCCTTGCTCCTAGCCTTTTGTTTCCCCAAGCTTCTCTCCTCAAAAGATCTCCTCTCCAAAGCTTTACACACACAAGAATGAACACCACACGAATTAGGGTTTTTTTCTGAGCTCTCAAGGACTACAAAGAGGCCAAAGGAGGCTTATGTTTCCTTAAATAGGGTGCAAAACCCCGGGATTAGGGTTTCATCTGCCAGATCCTACTCGCCGAGTCCCAATATGGACTCGTCGAGTAGGTCACTTATCACGCGATCCCACCCCGCTGCTACTCGACGAGTAGGTCGACCGACTTGTCGAGTAGAGCTTCATCCAATACTTCTTATTTAAATAATACCTGAGGATCAGGGCGTTACAACTCTCCCCCACTTGAACTAGACTTCGCCCTCGAAGTCCGTCGAAATAAACAATGTCGGGAAATGCTCGCGCATCTCCGCTTCCGGCTCCCATGTCCACTCGGATCCCCTCCGATGTTCCCACTGTACCTTTACCAAAGGTATTTCCTTGTTCCGCAGAATCTTCTTCTTCCTTTCCAAAATAGCCACCAACCTCTCCACATAGTTCAGGCGTTCATCGACCTGAATGTCATCCAACGATACCACTGCCTCCTGGTCCATAACGCATTTTCGCAATTGCGAAACATGAAATGTGCTGTGGATTCGGCTAAGCTCCTCCGGAAGCTCTAGCCTATAAGCCACCCTGCCAACCCTGGCAACAATCCTGAATGGCCCGATGTAGCGGGGACCCAATTTTCCCCTCTTCCTGAAGCGGATCACTCTCTTCCAGGGTGAAACCTTCAGGAGAACCATGTCACCCACCTGAAACTCCAGCTCAGATCGGCGTCGGCCGGCATAACTTTTCTGCCAACTCTGAGCGGTCTGCAGTCGCTGTTTAATCTGCTGTATCATCTCGGTAGTTTGCAGGACTACCTCTGTCCGACCCATCACTCTGTTCCCAACCTCGCCCCAGCAGACTGGGGTCCTACACTTCCGCTCATACAACAGCTCGAAAGGCGGGACGCCAATACTGGAATGATAGCTGTTGTTGTAGGCGAACTCTACAAGCGGTAGGTGGGAATCCCAACTCCCACCGAAATCAATGACGCACTCCCTCAACATATCCTCGAGGGTCTGTATGGTCCGCTCACTCTGCCCATCAGTCTGCGGATGGAACGTTGTACTAAAATGCAACCTGGTACCTAGTTCCTCGTGGAACTTCTGCCAAAAACGGGAAGTAAATCGGACATCCCGGTCGGAAACTATGGAAACTGGAACCCCATGGCGAGAGACAATCTCGCGGACGTACAGGTCGGCCAACTTCTCCGCCGACGAACTCTCCCGTATAGCTAGGAAATGGGCACTCTTGGTCAGTCGATCCACGATGACCCATATAGCATCGAAACCCTTTGCCGTCTTTGGCAAACTCGTGATAAAATCCATCGTGATCCGTTCCCATTTCCACATGTGAATCTCCAGGGGCTGCAGCTTACCATGCGGCCTCTGGTGTTCGGCCTTTACCATCCTACAGGTCAAGCACCTCTCAACAAACCAAGCGATATCTCACTTCATGCCCGGCCACCAATAACTCGAACTCAGATCACAGTACATCTTGGTGGCCCCCGGATGAATAGAGAAGCGAGACTTATGAGCCTCCTCCATCACTGTCTGCCGGACCCCTCCGGACATTGGGACCCAAACCCGACCGTAACGGGCCAACAATCTGTGGCTATCCTGAACAAACCGAGCGCTTTCGCCCTTAATCTTCTCCAACTTCCAGTTCTCTGGTCTCATACCCTCAATCTGAGCATCTCTTACCAGACCCACCAGTGGGGAAT